ACATGTATACATGTTACATGCTCGCGGAGGTATGCACTCTTTTTGAGTGCCCTCTGTCTAGTTATTATAAGGTTTGCTGTAGCTAAAATTAGATTCTAAACATGCAGTAATCAGTACTATGTATGCTAGAGACCCACACTTGGTTGCTCTGTGAGTGCATGCCTGCCAGCATGAGTACAGTTTATGTAGTAGTGGTATAGTAAGTGTGATTTATTTGTGTAATTCCAGAAAAGAGTACTACACCTAGCTAATCGAGAATTTGTGCGAGTCACGGTGAAAATGTACCATAGGATAAAGCCTCGCACAGATAACCCAGCCTGTACGGGAATCTTCAGTCAACCCACTTTTCTCATTTACATTCCATTTGCGATGCACCGTTAATAATGACAAAAAATAAAACTATTCAAGTCATGCTATTAATGTGGAATAATTTGTAGAATATTACAAATCTTTCGAGTATTTCAGACAGCTTGTATAGCATGTTATGTGTGCGTGCAAATAAATAATTATTATTATAATCAAAATACTGCCTATTCAGGTCATATAGCGCTTATTTTATGTACATCCAGCTTGTTGGTTAAAGACTCATCGTGGATCTCCCCATACTACCTGGAATTTCAGAAGTCATTTTTGGCAATCGGGCAGTTCATCCCCATTTGCTAATTGGAGTGAAACTAGATCAGGTTGGAGGCTATACATCCTGTTGTGAAAACATAGCATGGCTGTGTTAGGATTGTTAAATTCAAATAGCTGGAAATTAAGGCATGTCGAGGTCGATGTCAATAAGGTATGTCTGTGGATTTATGGGGTGTCGAAAATTAGCTTCAACTTTGAAGGCATGTCAGTCCAGCCATATGTGGTAAAGCCCTGAGAACACTCGACAAAGCAAAACAACCAGCTTGAAATCGATGCTAGAGTTATAATGTACCAGTTTAATGTGACGATATTTCCAACTAGTGTGTCGATGTACAGCTGTTATGACTTCCTGTGAAACTAGCAAAATTAGTCCCAAGTCCATCTGGAAACCCCCACTAATTCAATCATCATTGCTATTTGCCACTTATTAGCTAAACGTTTATAGGCGTCTGAAAACTTTTCAGTAGGAAGGAAACTTTATTCAGACTAGCTGAAACCCGCGCTACGCGCGGGCTTAGTGACTGTGATGCATGTGTTACCAGTAGTGTTATGTGTAAGGTGTTATATGGAGAGTTTAGTTGTTGGACATGTTTTTTTATGGTTGAGATGTCAATACAAATACATGTACAATCATGCTTACACGTAACACATTAACCATTTGTTTGGCAAGTACACAGTGAAATACACACGCACGCACGCGCGCACACACAAATGTTTTATTCTATGCTATGTACTGGTTGATGATACGGACTCCAAAGTTAGAATATAGATAGATCTCATTGGGCTGGTTGAGCTGACAGCTCGCTGTTCACGACACCCGCACAGCTTTGAATAGCCGGAAATCTGAAATACGTGATCCACGACCGGCCCCCGATCCGATATCTGCTCTGATCAAATTGAACTTATACATTACATCTGATATCGAAAACTATGCCAAAATAGCTACTGAACATTTAACTTCATTATTACATGCTTATTTCTACTTATATTATTGGGCTTACCAAAATCTCTGTGCATGCAGCACAACGTTGCGAAATAGCAAAGATATAGCGCCCCCTATTTTCAGGCAAATGTTTACCTTTTTTGTGTTTTTTTGTCTTTTTTAAGACCAAACAAACGGTTTTCAACCAAGTATAGTTTAGAACCCGTCCCGTGTACTCATCGATCTCTTCTGTAAATTTGGCGCTATTTGGATCCAAACTGACGGAGCCTTTCATTAACATACATACAAACAACATTCGCCAAATTATAGTAAGATACCCAATGAAATCCTATCCTCCCTACTTGTCAACATGCAAGTGGTTTATTGGCCAATGGTTGCCACAATGTGACATGGTCAAACACGTACCTCATTTCAGACAGAGAATAGACACGAAAAAAATGTCGTTTCCACATACATGCGAGAGAAATTTATTATTCTTTGATTTAGTTACAGCATAAAATTCATAATTGATAAATTGTCTACATATGCAATGTAAATTTGTGGTCTTGCACTGCTGACAAAATGCCTGGAAAACCGGTTGATGGAATTTGTGTAAAGAACAAATTTTCCACCGGCTTGGAATTCATCTCCAACATTTCATGAAGAGATGCTGACTGCTTCTGAACAGTTTAGTAATAAGACCTTGCAGGCAAAGCATTATTGTGAGGGCTAATTTGAAATTTAGAAACTATCCTCATAGATCCAATCCTGCTGTGCGGGTTTCCAACGGACCAATTCTTCTGGTTTGAACCACAGTGCGATCTCATGTTTTGCGCTTTCCACTGAGTCACTACCATGACAGATGTTCCTGAAATGAATTAATCATAAAATTAAATAGCGGTAATCATAATTTTATAGGCTGTATATAAGTGTGGATCTATTTGTGAAGCTTTCTCAGCACTTTCCCGACGCCACTCCCATTTTACTGAATGTACACGTAAAAAATCTTTAGTCTCGAATTAGCAAGTTACACTACTGCATAACAAACAGCTACGTTTATTTTACCAGACATTCACTTTTATGATCGCAATGTATCAATGTTGTTACACGGTTCTTTGGCTTGCTGGTTTCATTTAGCATGGGTTTCACCATGTGGTCTGAGTGATTCCAAGTTTATGGCCCTGTCACACATTGACGATTTAGCCAGCGTATGCCGGACGT